TTGGTTTTTTATTGCCATACCAGTTGTCACAACGTTCAAGTGTTAAAGGAAAGTGGCAAAGATTGTTTAAATTTCATTTTGAAGAGTATTAATTTTTTTTTTATACTAATATTTTGATAAGATTAATAACCTTTCAAAAGGTATAAACGATTATAATTTCCATTCCGATAATAATTACTATAACTATTTTTCTTTTTTATTTAGAAATCGTGAGATGCGGTCTGGTGTGATGTAGGTTTCAGAAAAACATTTTCTTTATCGTGCCACGTTTCGATCTTCATTGAGATCATCTTCAGGGCTCAAAGTGTTTGTCTTCTGTGTAATTGTGCCATTCGTGCGTGTCGTGTTGACTTGTGGCACTCTCTACACGACACGCAAGAATGGCACAATTACACAAAAGACAAACACTTTGAGCCCTGAAGATGATCTCAATAAAGATCGAAACGTTGGCACGATAAAGAAAATGTTATTCTGAAACCTACATCACATCAGACCGCATCTCGCGATTTCTAAATAAATATCGATTAACGGTCACTAATCACCACACATTTCTACACGAAAAGAACGAAGAACATGGGATTCTATGAACAAATTGCAACTATTTTTCTATTGTTTCCGTTTCCATTTTCCATTTTAAAAAAAATCTGGTTAAAACAACCTTTTCACTTACCCTAGCCTAAAACTCGTAGAGAGTTTGTAGTTACAATTTGTCATTATTGTTTCTGAAACCCAATTTTCAGAATTTTGTCATAGTTGGTTTTTATTTTTGTACATTAGTTTTAGAATATTCATCCACTCGCAGCAAACAAACCACCTACTATATTATTATGTGCATTAACAACAACAACAAACAAATTATGTTCTGGATCAATACTTAAAATTTTCCATTCGTGAAAAGTAAATTTATATTAAATAAATAATTGATTCTTTAAGCAGTAGGTAAAACACACATAATCTTCATGCAACATAAATAGTGCAATTAATGTATTTTATTATTTTTAATTATTGAGAATGTTTACTAAATTGTATTTTTAAAATTACGTTCTAAGGTAGTTGGTCTAAAAAATAATTCCTTTGGAGAAACGTTGTGCGGGCGGGCACTTAACCGTCCCGCGGGATCTATGCACTTCCCCGACAGCTCTATTGTGCCTCTGGAAGGGGAAATATTCCAAAAAAGACACCCGTTGGAAAAAAAATTGCAATACTCGACGAAGAACATAAAGGGGGGTGTGAATAAATGAAAATTTCCTTATAAGAAAGTTCAGCTGACTGGGAATATTTCGTAAAATGTGCTTCGTAAGAAGAAAAGCACAGAATCACTCACTATAGCTACCTTTCATTAAAATTATCTTTTCATCTACAATCACACTTTTCTTTTCCTATCCATCAGTTATTTAAAAGAACTTCACCCCATCTTCATATCAATTCACAGAGATTGCCTAATTGTTTCGCCTTATTAAAAATATATATTTATGATTGTAGTGATTATTTAAGATATTTTTGCAAAAAATACGGAGATTTGCAGGGCTGAAGCAATGTTATAAATTTTGGTGTACATCAGAGACCCATTCTCTATGAAGGCGACCTTTTTCAGAATGAGCTTTTCGCCTTTTCGCCCTGGGGGAATTTCTCAGCCAGCAGAACAACGCCGAAACAACCGGGGTGTGTTCGTGAATTATTGTAGGGCGCATTATTACAGAGGGTGAATTTTCACTTTTACTTTATAATTTTTTTTTTTGTTGAACATTATCATTGTTCTTTAAATATCACTGTCGTAATGTTATTTGATATAATTTTTTTTCAGTTTCTTTGTGATGAAAACCTTTTGTTCTTTTAACGAGTTTAATCTCCTTTTTTTTGCATAGACTTCATCCGGTATACCGTACTTTTCACCTTTCGTGATTATCCTTTTCTAAATTTAAGGAGCGTTATTTAATAAGGTTTTAATAATTTTATCGTCTGAGTTGTACACATATTATTTTGATCGATTCATATTCCATACCATTGATTTGGATGAAACTACTAAAACAAAATTAAAACGACGCTGTATAACAAAGATGGAACATATATGTAAAAAATAATTTCCAATTTACAATTGAATTCTATTTTATGAAAAATATTACATGTTTTCACAATGTAATTTTTATGTAAAACGTTTTTTCAATAATTTCAATTTAAAATTTTTAAAAAACCTAATTTATTTTTATATTTTCACCATCAACTGGACTTTTAAAAGTTAGTTAAGTTAAAAAACTCTCTAATAATAATAAGTGGGAAGTTTATGGGCCAAACAAACAGCTGAGGTCATCGCCGGCCCTCTACGTGTTTTCCATCTTTTTCTTTTCTTTCGCGCATATTTTGTTTTAAACTGCAGCCATTTGAGCATCTCGATCTGGTTACTGACTCTCTGATTTCAGATATATACTACGTTGATATTCTAGAATGCTAGTCTCTCGTTTGTACCTCAGGTTGTCAAATACAGAATAAAAACAAAACATACAATACATATATATACATCACCACAAACATAGATGTCTGGTCAAAAAACTCTCTAAGTTATTGTTAATGTACATTTTTCTATATCTGGATTGTTTTCAAGCCACTTATTGCCATAGAAAAATAATAATATTTTATCGTAAATTTTAACGAAATATAACTCAATTAGATCTTAATATTAAGTATAAAATCCTAAAAATTAAGTATCTTAGAATTTTCTTCTTATCATAATGACACGAAAGAGACAAAAATGTTCCATTTTCATCAATAATGTAGAAATTTCAAGTTATTATTGTAATTGTATGTGTTTTCTTTGTATAAGCCACTTGGTGTATCTGTATTTATTTCATGGTTGGATTAAAGACAACTCTTTTTGGTAGAATTTTGCTGTTATTATTATAAGATAAGCTGAAGATTGTAGATATAGAAAAACACCAAAAACATCTGCATATAAAATATACTTTACAAAAATGCTAAACTAATTATTAAAAAACACCTCAATAATAACAGGCTTACTCTACGCCAAGAAATTAAAATGAAAAATAAAGACACAAAATACACTTTAGATATGTTAGATAGAAAATAATATCAATTATCTACACAATTTTAAATCACAGATTAATAATAAAACCATGTAAAAAAATTGGATTGTTTTTGTAACTTTTGTTCCTAAATATATATATTAAAATACATAGCTATATATAAAATAAATAAATGTATATTATATGTATGTATATATAATATACACATACATGTGTGTGTGTGTGTGTGTGTGTGTGTGTGTGTGTGTGTGTGTTTTGAATTCTTAAATTAGACACAAGATATATTTAAAAAAGTACGTAAAATTATTTAATATTTTCTAATGTTTAAATTTTACAGGTTTGTACCAGTGAAAGCTATTGGACTGAAAGTGTTTAATAGATGACTCATTCTTTAGACAATTTAACGTACGTATATTTTAAAACGACATCAATATTGATAAAAATGCATGGGTAATAGAGCTTTTTTAGTGTGGCAAGACTGTTTAAAAAAATCGGGTTGTCTGTTGGCCCTATTTATTTTTAAGGCATTGAAACCATTGAGGATAGGAACAAAAGCTATAAGTTTTACCAATTAAATTTACCAATTAAAGAGTCTCAGAATATCCATATTCTAGAATATATTATAAAATATTTTTATTTCCTAACTTTTTAATTCTTGTTTCGAATAATTTATGTGCTATAGAGTAAATCGGGGAAAAAAAGAGACAAGTCAGAGTAATAATTGGGGATGGATATTGTCACAAACACTAGGAAAACATAATGAAGCCCTCATACTCGTACATTAATTAAACGATTAATCATAACTCAATTGCCATAACCGATAACAAAAAATTTGTCAAGGGGAACATTTTAAATGTATGATTTGACACATAAAGCCTTAACGTTATTACAAATTAATCTGAAGACCGGATAGTTAAACATTATAACAAAGATAAAAATGTCAGTGTCACGAGCGGGATTCGAACCCACGACCTTCGGCTTGATACGCCGCTACTCTACCACTTGAGCTATCGTGACTTCAATGCCCTCGGGCAACTTAACTTAAAAACATTAATTAATTTAATGTTATTAATTGGTCAAGCGGACCACGAAAAATAGTGAATTATAACAAATTATTTTAAAAAATTATTCTTTTGTAATGATAAGTATATAATAAAAATAAACTATATATAAATATACATCTAGGGAATAGATATATAATAGCTAGACCAGAGACCATTGTTATTACACTTTTAAATTTTTTGTCAGTTTTATGTATTAAGTATTTTTGGAACATTTTAGACTATTTAAAATCCTTCTTGAAATTTTTTAATTTAGGCAAATAAAATTATTGCGAAATCTAGTTTATTCATGTACAAAAAATCAAAACGTGGCAGCTCAATGTCGGGATTTTTAAACAGCACAAGTTTCTGGAAATAGGAAATACTACACATTGGTCATGCTAAGACGATTATCTCAGTATTATCTGAATAATTTTATGCTGTGTTTAATTTAAGATAATATCGTAGTTATTCTTCATCTCTCTTTTGCTCTTAATGGAACTCTCTTAATCTCCCAGGGTAAAATATCTTTCTCCAAACTTGGCAAGACACGTCTGGCACAGTGGTTCACTGACAACAACTTCATCGGATTCGTATTTCTGTTATAAATGCATTTAAGTTCGTTTTTATTCTCTCTACAGGACGGTTAAGACATGGAAAAAAAATCATTATTTTTAGTCCTGTGTTAGTAAACAAGAAGCTAGTGAAGTCTTTAAGCACTTGTGAATTTTTCGTTTTTTAAAGATCAATAGTTAGAAAAATTGTTTAACTATCTAACCTTCTCCAAAGTCGGAAATTAAAATGCGGGGCAAAAAATTGTGGGAAAAGCCCATAATTTTTACATTGAAATTAACATTAAGTGAACATAACATAAAACACAAAACGTAAAAAACACTGCTGTTATTCTGAAAATAAAACATACCGGACGCTCCTGCCATTCTCATATCCAATCGTGAAAAACGTAGACGATAAGTAATGAAAAACAGCAAAGTGCGATGTAACCTATGATGAAGGCGAGACACAGGTTGACGATTATTGTCATTGTTGCTATCTGCTTCCTGACCAAGGTGTAAGGTTGCATAAACACCATCACGGCGGACTTTGGCCCATCGGAATATAGGACTATTTATTTGATAGAAGGTGTTCCTCTAATTAGGCTAATTGCAAAAATATTAACGGGGCGTTTTCGAAACGATGGACTATGTATGCTATAAGATTTTTTTCAAATTTGTCAATAATTTTCTAATTTTCTCTTCAACACTTCGTTTCACAACATGCTCTTACAACATATTTAAATTTTTTTCTTGACAAGGTACATGTTATCACGAATTACCAGTAATAATAACAATTTTATTTAAAATATGCGCAATAGCTTGACATATAGTTCAATTTTGTCCTTTTGTGCTCTGTTTATATATTGACAAAACGTCATGGCCAATTTGTTTTTTCCCCAACCATTTCCTGACAGAAATAGTTTCAAGATAGTTTTATAAATGTAAATAAATATGCCCTTAGTTTAAAAAAAATAAGTTGCAGTTTAAAGCAAATATTTTTAATTAAAACAGCCTGTTTCATCTGTTAACTTTCTGATGTATTTAATATTTAATCGGCAATTATAAAACCACAATCATCCCCTGTGTATTAAACTAACAACATGTTTATAACATAAATTTATGGTGAATAAACAGTATCATAGTGATTCAACACTGATAAATATTTTTAACATGGTTTTATAAGTTTAGGTAGTACTAATACCTAAATGCCACTTGATCAAATAAATAAATACAATTTTATTTTAAAAGAAGTATATTACATTTAAAAAAATCTATTGATCCTTTAGCTTTTTGGTGCTTTAAATATTACATAGGTCATTATTAGGTCACCATCATCCAGTGACTAACATTGATAAATATTTACCGTATAAATAACAACTTAATAAATAAATTATTATAATCAAATATTAAAACGGCTTTGAATTCATAAGGGATCCCTCTCGTAATAAATGTCTATCCATTCTGCCCCATATTACAGTTCCATTTGTCGTGTGTTCAATGGGTAAAACCGTGGTGGGACGAACCCCAAGGGGAAATTGAAGCGGCAAATCGCCTGATCCAACGGTCATTATTATTAATTATGTTTTGCAGCAAGTGCTATCTAACCGGATAATAAAAAAAGGGACATTACGGGTCTTTGAATTATCACAGTTGTTATACACGGTAGCTATCAAAGAAGGGATGCATTTCATTGTTAAAAAAAGATATTATGGGTATCAAACAATGATAACCTTTGTACTATATTAATATTCTTGACCTTATTGCAATTTTTATTATAAAAATCTATATTCAAAACAGGCCATCATATTCACTACCTATCTATTTAAATCTATTGTTCGTACAATTAATTTCTATAGCTGGAAACACTCTCACATACAAATGTTCCCTACACACGTGGATGAGATTAGTTGTATGCTGTGTACCCTTGGTAAATTGTAAGTGCTGGAACGCTAGCCAGGGGAACACCAGCATACAATTCAGTTGCGTTCAATTACCCGGAATACCGGCCAGTGAGGTAGCTGTGAATTATGAGATTACTGGTGGAGTATATAATACCTATGAGGATGGACTGCAAGCCCGGGGTCCAAATTCGATAAAATGCTTGCGTTACGACAAAAACCCCCAGAACAGATCTACCCCAACTCAAGTGAAGAGAAGGTAAAGTCTATGACGCGAACACGAGCAATTGCTCAAAACTGAGGACCAAGTTATAGTCAGAAATTATATTTTGAGAATTTATGTTTGGATGGATTCATTTTTTTAGCTTTTCTACATTTTCCCAATATAGTAGTAAACTGATTGGCCTATATATTAAATAATACGATGTTGGCTTTTGGTATTTAAGGGAATATTCGGATGTATGTACATAGGTATAGTTCTGTCTTCAAATTTACGTTTAGTAATCAAATTTGCCGTCTATGTTTTTAAACCATTTAAAATTGGGTATAACATTAGGTTCGTAAGTTTTTTTGTTAGTTGAAGACACCTGCGATTGTTTTGACACATTCGCAATAAAGGATAAGTAAGGTTTTTAGTTGAGAAAAAAAGTCTAAAATTCAAAAAGGTGGGGTTGAGATGGAAAGTTTGTGTTCGAGTGGATCGAAATCATGATAGCTCAAGTGATATAGTAGCGGCGTATCTAGCCGAAGGTCGTGGGTTCGAATCCCGCTCGTGACACTGCCTTTTTTATCTCAACTAAAAACCTTAATTAATTATTTCTAATACTACTGTTATACATTTTATTCCTTCTGGGTCCAATAGACAAATGGTTTTCAATTTAATTTTGGAAATATTCAGATTTCCTCTAAAAGTGATAATGAACGAGTAGTTTCGTTGTATCCAATATTTTAGTCAGCTTGTATTGGCCTTTTTGTTCTTTTTTTTTTAATCATCGAGACGCTTTTCGGATCCTCGTCTTCACCAGTGGTCAGTTTGTAGACAAAACAGGAAGAATATAGATTCAAAAATTTTCGCAAACAAATTATATAAAGTTTTGGGTTAAACCGAAACCCCTGGCGTGGTTGCCATATGATTCCATTTTATTATTGATGATTTAGTCATATTTTCGTTTTATTAGAACAGGGAACTCGGAAGTTTAAAGCTGTACTACTTTGACAATGAGAGGGCAAAAGGAAGTGGTGTAACTGGTATCGCCACCAGGGAAAGAATGTTGTATGAAATGTAAGGATAAAGGGATGAAAGAGTGATTGAGTAATTAATTGAAAGATATTAATGGGTCAAAGGGACCATGAAAACTAGTGAATTTAATAAGTTAAAATGATGTATATCTTCACTAAAGCTCTCCGTCGCTATTTCATTTGTCGCCGAGAATCAAATAGATTACACGACATTTGAAAAATGGCAAAAAGAAGGGAAAATTCAAAAAGGTGGGGTTGAGATGGGAAGTTGGTGTCCAAGTGGATCGAAGTCACGATAGCTCAGGTGGTAGAGTAGCGGCGTATCTAGCCGAAGGTCGTAGGTTCGAATCCCGCTCGCGACACTGACTTTTTTATCTCAACTAAAAACTTAAATTATTGAGAGATATTAATTGGTCAAGCTGATTACGAAAACTAGTGAATAAAAGATAAGGTTTACATATCCTGCAATAGGATTAGTCCAGCTGATATAACGTCTTGGAAATTTCCTTCTGTATTTATTTTCTTGTTTATATTTTCATCCTAAAAGTGAGAAGGATTTTGTCCAAAATTGGTGATCGACGTTGAAGTTTTTACCCTCAAGTTTAAAAAAGGCCACCCGAAAATGTTGCCTGTTGAACTGTTCACGACAAAACGGGGTTACACCCGCAAATTATTCAATGTATTAGCATGATAAAAAAGGGGGTTATCATTAGCATTCTATCCACATTTAGAATTTAAATCTGAACCTATATAGCGCTGGACAGCTCGATGTCGAGAAATAAAAAAAATCGTTCGGCATTTTATTCTAATTGGCATAAAATCGATTGCTTCCTGTGAAAACCCAAATAAAAATAAATGGTGTTTCCCCGCATGACGTTTATTCTTCTGTACGAACATGAACGACTTTTGTCCCTCCTGTTCTACATAATACGAAATTTTTATGTTATAATCTCTGGAGGGCTGCCAAAATCAATGAGTTCATTGGCCTTACGGTTAGCAGAATTTGGTAAAAAATTGCATAACGAAATTGTAAAAATTGGAATGTCTATTTAATTTTTTCACACTCATTCAAATTGACAAAAATAAATATACAGGCTGGGATAGTATAACTATTGTTACCTATTTAACTACTTCTTCCTTGTACATAGACCTTCTATTACAAAAAAAATTGTTAGTAATTTTTATAACGAAAAATAAAAATATGAATGATTCAAAATTTTTATAAATAATAATCTTTTATTGTTAATGTTGATTTTTGAGTATCTTATATGCCATCAGCGCTAAAATGGGCTATATCACACCTGCTTTACGTCTGTGCAGATATAAAAACAACATTTTTAGCTATTTGTAAATTTGTATATCCAACCATTTCCTTGCTAATTAACCATCAGGAAACCTAGAGGAAAGATTTATGCTTATAATTTTATGCTTTAACCGCGATTTATGGCGTTATTCGCTGGTTGCTGCCAAGAGAAAGGCTTGAGCTCTTTTAACTTACCGCAAGTTGAACTAGACAATGGCAATTAACTTTAACTTGAGGTGAGTTACAGAACAGTAAATCTGCTTTAAGGAAGAAAGGAAATACAGCGGTCTGTAACGTTTTATTCTGTTGACGTTTACCAAGTAATGGTCCGAAGAAATATTTTAAACAATAGTTACTAGTCAATAGAGTATGTAAACAATCTGTTAAAATTTATAGAAAGAACTATTGAATATTTTGAAGTTTTGTCACAGATTGTTTGTTAACTATATGAAATCTTATCAGTGTTTACCGTAAAAATAATAAGTTCTCTTCAATGAAAAAAGGGATTGTAATGTTTTTATCAATATGGCTGGAGTGGACCGTCCTGTTGGGCGAGGAATGGCAACGACCCTCCAATTGCTTTTCTTTGCCAAAGCCGCGTCTAATGGAATCCGTAAATTTCCCGTTCCACTTACGTTTCTCAAACAATAAAATCGTTTTAAAAGAATAACTCTAATTGATTAAAACCTGATTTTCTAAAGTGGTTTTGTGGTTAAACACTCAGTCTAATGGTTGTTATAGATGAGGTTGGTAAAAATGACGAATTTCCTCCTGAATGGCTAAGAGTCATTAACGAAATCGAAGAGAAGTGCATTAACATGAATTAAAACTCAAACCGACGAATGAGCCTAGCATGCCGCCGGGTAATATCTGAGTGAAACACGATTTCCGACTATTTATAATTCCTGACTTCTCAACCAAGGCGTTGCATTCTATTTATATCAAAACGCAGAGTACAAGGGACTAATTTAAAGTTCTCTGGGTCAGTTATATACCTCTCACAACTATGGATCATCCTAAATAATTTTATATAGAAAATAACAGAATTATACATATTCGAAACATATATTTCT